TAGGCTCTGATTAGAACCGAGATTTTCCACATCGGAATAGGTACTAGACTGAAGTATCTGATTTTACAATTTAGATCTATATAGACATTCCACGGATGACTTCATCATTATTGATATTCGAACAAGTTTTTGTTGAAGAATTGTTTGAAGGTATTTTATTTATTTGAACTAATCGTCATTCAGCTAGTGTTTATGTGCAAGGTATATATGATCTTGTTACACAATTCTTTGTTGTTTTTCTTTCGGAATTTATTGATAATGGTAAGAGAAAGAAAAAGTTTTTTTTTTAAAAGAAAATTCTTTTAGATATTGAAATTGAAAATTTTGATATTAATTCATTATCGGAATCAAATCGACATATTCTTGAAGCTGATAGTTGTTGAATAATATCTCATATTACTTGAAGGTATTCAAGTTAATTATACATTTGCTCAACTTGGCATTCAATATAAATTTCGAAGATTAGAAGAACTTATTAAATATATTGATGGTTTATTTAAAAAAATAGTTTATTATCTTTTTAGTAAACTTAAATTCTATTTTAGAACCACTTTATAAGCATTTAAAAAACCAAAATATTGAATTTTTACAATTTGCTTTTCGTTGAATGAATTATGAATGTGTTACCAATGAGATGTACAATTCATCTTTTGGATACATATCTCGTATGTTTAAATATATTACAAAAATAAATTAAAATTAAAAATTTTATTTAGGCAAAACAGGAGGCTTTTTCTCAGTTTCATTTATATATATGTGCAGCATTTATTATTCGATTTTCCGAAGACCTTTTACGTGAAAAAAATTTCTATGTAAAAAAAAACAAATTTTTTTTTCTAATTATGTTTATCATATTAATCTCTTAACCAGGGTTTATCAGTACTATTTCAAAATTTACCAACAAATTCATGGACAAGTAATGATATAAGTATCTTAACAGCTGAAGCTTATCATTTAAAAGTTATGTTTGCAAATACTCTGCGTCATTTATTGAATTCTTGAACCGGGTTTTATTCTTCAAAAACCTCTCGAATGATATATTATCAAAAATATGAATTCTTTTTTGTTATTAATATTAATCTTTTTATTTTTATTTATTGTATACATATATGTTAGTACGCTAATTTCTACTGAATTATTTGCATAAGGATAATAATAAGTATCAATTGGACCATTTATTTATTCCATTTGAATCAAGATTAATAATCAAGGAAATTTCTAGGAAGAAAAAGAAAAATCATTTTATGGTTAGATTTGTTTCCTCCACCTGTGTAGAAAAGAACAAAAAAAAAATACAAGGACCATTTCTTTGTTTTTTCTCAGTTGAAGAAAGGAAAAATGTTCTTATTTAAAATTAATAAAAATATCGACCGTTGGAAATAAACAAAAATTAATTGAACAATTACGTGTTGCAGCTGGTATCAACGCATATGAATCAATATTTTTTTAATCATGAATAAAACAAGTATATAAAATAAAACACCTTTTTTTAATAGTAATAAAACTAGAATAAAATCAGATGTATATAAAAAAACACTGATATGTTTATAAACGACGTTGAAATTCAACATGAATTGATCATGAGCTGCAACTTGATTTTGATGATTCATTTGGTGTTGTTTTTTTATCAACAACCGCTTCACTATCAGCTGATTCTTCAGTTATCATAACCTTTTCACAAAAAAAATTAATTTAAAAAATTCGAAATAAAAACATACAGTTGTTGAAATTGAAGGAAGACGAGGTGAAGCATCTTCTTGTCCAAGTGTAACAGCTTGTTCAATAATTTGACCTATAATCAAACAAAAAAAAAATGAGAATTTAACAAAAAATATTCAATCAAAATATTTACCAATTTCAGCGCTGCTTTGTGATTCAGCTTTTCCATGAAAAATCTAAAGAGAAAAAAATTTTTTTAAGATACACCAAAGAATTTTTAATGATATAAAAATTTTGATTGAACTTCTTTGATTAAATCACCCATATGTTTAAAAGCTGCTTCAACAATAAGTTTTTGTCGAGCACAAAGTTCTTGTTCAAGTTTATCAATTAATTCAATTTTTTTTTTCAAGTTGAGCAACATTTTCTTCAGTACGAGTTTTAAAATCATTTTCAAATTCTAGAAAACAAAAAAGAACAAAATTTTTTCTCTTGATCAAAATTATTTAATACCTGTTAAACGTTAATCAGCATCAGGAACGAGTTGTTTTTGTTGTTGTCGAGCTTCACCAATTGATCGTTCAATTAATTTTAAAATAGCTTCAGTAATATCTTCTGTACGTTGATGAGAAGATTCATCGACTTCGAGACGTTTTGAATCTTAAAAAACAATGATTAATTAAAAATTTCTTGTTTCTATCAATTAAACTTACCAGTCCTATGCACAGGATCATTATTTTCTGTGTAGGAAAATTTTCCCATAATACAATTGTCGAGAATTTCACAGAGATCAGTTTCATTTTTTAAGATTTGTACTTGTTTTTGATATTCTTCAATGTCATCGATCAAATATGAGGTGTTTTTAACTTCGTCTTGTTAGCGTCAGTGATGGATCACACTAACGCTAAACGATGATTAAGATGCGCCTTCTAGTCTAATTGGCTTAGGACAACTGCCCGGATAGCAGAAGGTATGGGTTCGATTCCCATGAAGGTCATCTTTTTCATCGTTCTGTCACATAACATCAGTGACATTGCTTGTCTCTTTCGTTCTATACATATGAGAGCTTACACGTCTTGCTTCTGTATTATTTCCATTTGCATCTCTTTGAAAATGTTGAGGATATGTACCTAATAAAAAAACAATAGAGGTATAATGAGATCAAAAATTCATATAATAGCACTTACTTCGTTTTGAATAAAAATAGAAAACCGAGAACCTGAGGACATTACGATCTACAAAATAGAAAAATATAAAAAGATACTGAAAAAACAGATATTGTATATGATTTTGCAATAGTTAAAGTCGAAAAAACTGTAAGTCATGGAGAAGGAATTGTTAATAAAATAGTACCTCGTGTTAAAATCGTTGAAACAAATACAACAGCTTCTTAAAGAAAGATGAAAAAAAAATTTTTTGTCTTTTTAAAATACAAATAAACTTAACTCCATCGATTTTTATGTTTCATATGCAGAATTAAACGATTTTTTCCTGGTAATAACCAAACAAGACGTTCACCATATGATGTAGGAATTTTCATTGTATCTTCAACAATTTTTTCAACACCATGAACAGAACGTATCTAAATTAATTTGAATAAATTCATTTCCTTTTTTGATGAAAATAAATTTTTCATATGCTTCAGCAACATTAACAGCAGCAACTGATTATTTAACATAACGATTTGGTTTACGATTACCATTTTCAGCATCTTCAAATGCATCATCAAATAAAACATGTGAACCCCTCCCCGTAATAGAAGACCCCCCAACTCACATCACATTCAAGCGTTAAAACGTTCAAAAATGGTGTTTTTAAATGGAATGGAGTTACATCATAGAGGGGTCTTCTATTATGGGGAGGGGTTTGGTTCAAATCAACAATAGTTGGGGATCAAGAATTGGTAAATTTTTTTGCACATTTCGACGAACATGTTGATCAGAATCAAGACTATTAAAAATTCAATAATAATAAATAAACATAATTTTCATTCTTTTTTTTCCAATCTACCGAAAAATAGATTTTAATAATCGAACCATTTCACTTGTTGTTTCATGCCACATCATTGTACAAACATAAATCATTGGAACACGAAATTTTCTTTCGAGAATTAAATCAGGTTCGAGATTATTTTTAGCAAAAAAAAAAAGAACTGTTAAAACAAAATAACTATTGTCACCAAAAGTAAGACCACTGACTTAAGCTAGCTACTGTTGATATTGATGGTGGATGGTGGTCGTGGTTATTAACGCATCGTTCTATATGCATTCTATTGTCGTATGGCGTCGACCACTTGTGATGGTAAATGTAAAGCGTATGTTTTCTTCATTCAACTCTCTTTATATTTATCTGTTTACTTTATTGATTCTTTTAGTACAAGTGAAACGGACGAAAAGAAGAAAGAAATGAAATAAAGTAGTAAATAATATCATCTACAAATCTATAAATAGATCTATATATGTCGCTCGTTCTCTTTAAACAGAAACGAAATTCGACCACAATGAATAATCGAGAACGTGTATTGAGAATTTTATTTTCACTTAATGATCTAATTATTAGATCTACAGTACAATATTGTATATAAAAAAATTATAAACAATAAAAAAATTTCTATCATACATAATGACATCGATTGAATCGAAGTAATCGATGGTGGTGATATCACTGTTTTTGGTTTAGGAAAGTTACGAACATAGTTTATATTTAATTAGTATATCTCTTCCTTTATTAGTTAATTAAAATTATAACTAAATTAGTTATTTCATTTTATTTATAACAATTATAAAAAATTAACGTTTCGAACGACAATGTCGTTCTTCGTCAGAAGAAAGAGAAAGAGGGATGAAGAATTATTTGATGTTATATTTTTCTTTATTAATAGTACGAACCAGACGGTAATAGTCTGGTACGATAAAGATGTATTGTTTATCATCCGTACTATTATTAAAGAAAAATACAATATCAAATAATTCATCATTTCTCTCTCTCACTCTCTCTCTCTCTCTTCTGATGAAAAACGACATTGTCGTTCGAAACGTTAATCTTTTATATTTGTTACAAATAAAATAAAATAATTAATTTAATTGTAATTTCAATTAACTAATAAAGAAAGAGATGTACTAATTAAATATAAACTAAATCATTAGTTGATTTATCGAGTGTTTATTTTAATAATGCATAAACAGGATAAGTAAATCCGTTTATTGGAATAGCACGAAGTGTATATGGTAAAAATCGTCGTGTAAATACTTGCCAACATTTTGTACGAAATAATTTCACTGCACGATTCCAAACAACTTTATATGTATGATCATGTGCTGCTTGTTATCGACTTTTAATAACATCAAATGGATATGAAACTGTCCATAGAGCAATACCCGTAAAAACACCGCCAATTAAACTTTAGTAAACAGGCATATCAATTTCTTTACCTGTTGGAGAAAATTTGTAACAAAAAATTTCCAATCGGGAAAATAAGCAGCAAATGATGGAATATCTTGAGGAGATGTCATTGATAAACCACGCATGATTCCATGTTGAATACCTCGTCTTTTATATGATTTTTTTTTAAACAATCAATTCGTTCTTTATATGAATGTGTTAATAAAATAAATAATTTTCTTTGTTGTCCAATACCTTGTATTAGTAAACGTGTTTTAATAAGTACAACAGGTGAACATATAAATGGTTATTACAATCAGCAATACCATCAGTTATTGCTAATGCAGAATAAGTATTAGGATCATTAAATAAATTTTTTGAAAGATTTCGAATAGAAAAATAAAACAATTCCATTTATAATTGCAACACCAAACATTGGTGATGACATACCTTTAAAAAATCCTAAAATCGATTCTTGTTCTGCAATTTTAATAAAATAATCTAATGAACTAGAATATAAACGATAATTTAGTGTTTGTGTTCGTCAAAAACCTTGAACAGTATTAAATGGATAACCAGCAATTGTATCAGTTAAGCCAAGAACAAAATCAAAATCAAAATCCAATACCATCAATTAATGTGATGCTGAAATAAAACGAATAAGGTATTTCATAAATAATATGTAGCTGATGCAATGTTGAAACTAAGAAAACAAATCATTAGCAATGAATGAAGACATGCATTTGTTTTGCGCTCGGTTTATCCTTCTTTCCCTTTCCTTTACATGTTGCTCGATGATCCAAGTAAAAAATAATACTGTCTTTATTATAATCGCCTGCCGAGGATGTCCTCGACATCCACAGGGTCTCACTGCTACTTGTAGCGGTTGGAGGCGCCCCTGGGCTATCGGTAGCCACTCCGTCTGACTTTTAGGCTAGCCACCTATCAGTAGGACATAAAACTTCACGGGCTAACGAAAAAGATCAAAAACAGTGCATCAACGCACGTAAATCAACATTCTTTGGTGGGTGGAACGTTCGATCGTGTTTTCGGCAAGCAAAAAAGCAATTAATCGTCAAACAACTACAGAAGTACCATATCCAAGTGGCTGCACTCAGTGAAGCGGGAATTTACGACTCAGGAATAACAACAGTGGGTGAGTATACAATGATCTATTCTGGTGCTCCTAGTATAAACAAAATCAAAACAGCTCATGGTGTGGCAATATGTCTAAACAAGCAAGCAACGACAGCATGGAAAAACATTGGCGCTGTCTGGGAACCAGTCAACGAACGGATACTCATGGTAAGACTACAGTGCACACCAGTCAATCTCTCACTTATTGTGATTTACTCTCCAATCAATCCAAATGGTCAACAAATAGCTATCAATGCATCGGATACCTTTTACGCTGATCTGCAGCAGACAATTAACTCAGTTCCATCAAATGATCTTCTACTAATTATGGGTGATTTCAATGCAAGAGTTGGAAAGCAACAACACATTACAAGTAGAAAAGTAGTTGGTCCACATGCAGTTGATTGTATTAATGAAAATGGTCAACGACTGATAGATTTTTGTGCAATGAATAATCTTATTATCTCAAACACCTTCTTACAACACAAAAGAACACATCAAACCACCTGGATGCACTCAGCGAATAAAAAATGGCACATGCTTGACTACACTCTTGCTAATCGTAAATTTCGATCAAGCGTAGAAGACGTTCGTGTCCATAGAATGGCTGTGGGTGCAATTGGAACCGATCATCATCTTCTCCGAACAAAACTCAAATTTCATTTAAAAACCAGAAAAAAGTCATCAAAACAACATCATATTCGTCTCGATCAAAAGAAACTCAAAAATGAACATCTTGTCAAAGAATTTCAAGCTGAACTTACGAACAGACCGGCAGCATCAAGTTTAGACAATATGACCATCAACCAAAAATATGCGAACTTCGTTGACTATGTCACCAAAGCTAGTAATACAATCTTCACACATGACAGCAATGGCAAAAAACGAAAGGAATGAATTACCAATGAAATTATGGAAGCTGTCGATAAGAAAGCGAAGGCTTTCCTACAATGGAAAAATCACCGTGGCACAAACCTCGAACGTCAATATCGTAGCAAATATAATCTACTACGAACAAAAGTGAAGAATATGGTTGAAGCAAGACAAGTCGAATACTGGGACGAAATCAGCGAGGAAATCGAAATAGCCATCAAACAACATGATCTCACAATCGCATACGCAATGATCAGACGACTCAGAGGTGGACGAGCCAATATTGAAAATCTTCCAATCCAAAACAAACAAGGTAATCTTCTATCAAATTCACAAGAAAAGCTGGACCGCTGGAAAGAATTCTTTAATGATTTACTTAACGTACCATCCGACATTAAGCCATCTATTCTCAAGCAGATACCAACACCGAACATTTCTCCAGCTGAACAGCTTCGTCAAGACAAACCTCCCTCTTTGATTGAGGTACAACAAGCAATTCAACAGATTAAAAACAACAAAGCACCAGGTAATGACAATATCTCTGCAGATTTACTCAAAGCCGGTGGTCTCCCAATGGCTCAATGGCTTCATGAAATTTTCGTAGATATTTGGAACAATGAAGAGATCGTGGATGACTGGACAACAGCAATTCTTATTCGATTATACAAGAACAAAGGTGACAAGCGCATATGTGATAATTACAGAGGTATTTCACTGCTCGTTGTAGCGAGTAAAATATTTTCTCGCCTGATTCTGAACCGCGTGCAAATACTTCTTGACAAACAACTTCTTGAAGAACAAGCGGGTTTTCGGGCCAATCGTTCGACCATTGATCAAATATTCATTCTTAAAATGATTATGGAGAAATCACGTGAATACAACAAGCCACTCTATATGTGTTTCATCGACATAAAAAAAGCATATGACTCAGTTAATCGTGACCTACTATGGCAAATCTGTAAACACTATGGCCTTTCCAACAAAATCGTGCATATGTTACAACTTCTTTATAAAAATACAAAAGCACGAGTCAGAGCCAATGACGATTTATCCGACAGCTTCAATATCGAAACTGGTGTATTGCAAGGTGGTATCACGTCCTGTATATTGTTCAATATTCTTTTCGACTTTATTATGCGCCGTGTCATTGACAAAACAAATATAATGGGTGTAACTGGCATTAAATTAGCATTTGGAAGTAATGATTTCTGTCACACTGATCGAGACAACTACGAAGATCTACATGTCTTGACCTTAATGTATGCAGATGATCTGGTTACAATGTGCGACAACACTCTCGACCTGGAAATTTTCATTCAAACCTTCGAACAAATTAGTCAAGAATTTGGTCTGACTATGAGGGTCAAGAAAACTTGCATCATGTCTTTTAAACAATTTCAAGAAGATTCAACAAGAAAGATAATAAAGAATCAAGAAGTCGCAGCACCCAACATAAACATCAATATTCGGAATAAAACAATTGAAATGGTCGACGAATTTTCTTATCTTGGTTGTTATGTAACCCGTGACAATTCGTTGGATAAAGAAATTGAAACACGACTCTCCAAAGCATCAGCTGCTTTCAATATGCTTTGTCATATCATTTGGCATCGCAAAACAATCTCCATCGAAGCAAAGCTACGCTTGTTCCGTGCTTGTGTTCTTCCGGTTTTACTATATGGAAGCGAAGTGTGGTCGACAACTATAGCTCAAGAACGACGACTCAACACATTCTATCTCAAATGTCTTCGAACAATCATCGGTGTCAATTTAGGTGATTACATGACAAATGATAAACTACTACAACTGACAGGTCAACCATATCTCAACGATATTCTCAGACGAAATCGGCTTCGCTGGTTTGGACATGCGAATCGTATGAGCAACGCAAGCAACAAATCGTCAATCGTAAAGAAAGTAATGTTTTCATACTTTTCAGACTGCAAACGTCCTCGAAATGCAGGAGTATGTAAAAGATGGCACGATAAAATACTCAACGATCTTGAACAAAGTCAAATTCGAAATTGGCGAAGAGAAACACTTGATCGCAACAAATGGCGAGATACAATCAACAAGAATGTGCAAGTCAAACCATTGTCAATCAATATTGTAGAAATTGTGAAACAGGTCAAAAAATGTACTCAGGACCGCAAAACAACTAATGGAAATAGATCTCTAAATAAAGTAACACAAGTGCTCGTTCCAACTGCTAACAAAGATTATATTTGTCCGAAATGTAACAAATCATACAAACCACAAGGTATCACCAATCATGTGCGATCTTGCGCGACAGAATGGTGCAAGCAAAATGGAATTCAACTGTACAAACATCTTTGCGTATGAAAAAGCTGTGTCTCAATCACTATGTGCGCAATGATGAGTGCTACTCAAACCAATCTCGCAAGGCTTG